GCCATTTTACAGATAAAAAGCTGACACTAAAACCAGTTACATAAATTGCTTAAGATCACATAGGTAGTAAGAGTTTACAAAGTCAGGATTTGAACCCAGGTCATTCTAACCCCAAAGTCCTTACTCTTACAGTTGCTTTGACACATGTCAAATATAGTACAACGCCTGGTCAGAAAGTGTAATACGATAATAGGGGTAAGGAAGGAGCCTCAAAACACTGAAAAGATGAATGATTAATAGTGGGAATAATACTAACATCTTTTATAAGTAATCATACTTAAAGAACTTCAAATCTTGCCAAAGCACGTTTAAGATGACACAATTCTTTAAAAGGAAGTCCACTGAATTCCCAATCTGTATGTTTTTATTATGTTCTAGGAAAAGAATTTTCTCTACTCTATAGGATTTCACCAGAAAGAGAGAGAGCAAAACGGAATGGAAGAAACTAACCCCACAAATATTATAGTCATGTGTCACTTAATGACGCAGATACGTTCTGCGAAACGCACCATTGGGCAATTTCGGTGTTGTGTGAACATCATGGAGTGAACTTACACAAACCTAGATGGTACAGCCTCCTCCACATCTAGGCTACACGGTACTAATCTTATGGGAGCACTGTCATAAATGAGGTCCACCACTGACGAAAACGTCGTTATGCAGCGCATGCTGTAGTGCTAAGTAGTACATGTGAAAAAAAATTACAATTCAAATAAATGTATGTGCTTTGATGAGCAAGGAGACACCCTTATATCACTGCCTTAAAATAAAATCCTTTGAAAACAGAAAATTCAAATGACCCCCCCCAACCTTTTTTTCTGGACTCCAATCATTTGTTTCCTGAAAAAATTGAGTATAATCTGAAGAAATCACAAAGATTCATTTTGAAAACTACAGCTTATTACAAAATACTGTATTCCAAACATTTCGATATGGAAGCAAAATTAGAATAAGAATACACTGCTTTATTGAGCCTTGCTACTCATACTAGGCTGCGGTTCAAGGAAATGATGGGATGAGAGAGAGTTTGAAGAACAGAGTGGAAGGATGTTAGGAACTTTCAGGAACTTAGTAATGAGAGGGAGAACATTTAAAAAATAAAAAATAGGATACACAAAAAAGAACAAATCCTACTCCATCCAAAAGGGTTATCTACAAAATATCTGCTCCTATCAGATTTTTTCACTGCCAGGATATTTCCTTTAATCTGTAGGACTATGACCACATCTTCCAGTTTATATTCAAAAACCAATCAAATGCAAATGCAGGAATAAGGATCCTTAATTAGGCAACAGGAGAACTGGACACCGTATTGGCCCTGCCACTCCTTAGCTCTCTAATAGACAAGTCATTTTACCCTTCTACATCTCAGTGTCTTCATCTGTAAAACAAGATGGTTCACCTTACCTTACTCCATACAGAAAAATTAACTCAAAATGTATCAGAGACGTAAATGTAAAAGCTAAAACTATAACACTTGGAAGAAAACAAAGGAAAAAAATCTTTGTGATGTTGGGTGAGTAAAGATTTCTTAGCTACAACACCAAAAGTACAATCAATAAAACAAAAAAGTGATAAACTAAACTCTAACAAAATTCAAAACTTTTGTGCTTTAAAAGACAGCAGTAAGAAAACGAAAAGACAAGCTACAGACTGGGAGAAAATATTTGAAATCATCCATCAGGTAAAAGACTCATATCCAGAATGAATACATACACACACACCCCTATACCTCAATAAGAAAACAACCCAATGGGCAAACCAAATGGGCAAAAAGTTTCAACAGACATTTCACCAAAGTAGAGAGATGAAAAGCTAATAAAGACATGAAAAGATGCTCACCATCATCAGTCATTAGGGAAACGCAAAATAAAACCACAGTGAGATACCTCTTCACACCCACTAGGATGGCCAGAATCAAAAAGACAACAAATGCTGGCAAGCATACAGAGAAAAAGGAAACCTCATACATTGCTGATGGGAATGTAAAACAGAACCCTCACTTTGAAAAAGTGTGTCAGGTTCTTAAAAAGTTAACCATAAATTTACCATCTGACCCACCAATTCCACTTAAGAAAAATGAAACATGTTCACATGAAGATCTGATGTGAATGCTCAAAGTAGCATTATTCCAAACAGCCAAAAAGCAGAAACCACCCAATATCCATCAAGTGGTGTCCAACAAAAAGGGATAATGCACTAATACAAGCTACAACATGGATAAACCTCAAAAAATATTATGCCAAGTAAAAGAAACCAAATGCAAAGGATCATGCATTATATTATTATATTTATACAAAACGTCCAGAAAAAGCAAATTTATAAAGACAGAAAGTAGATTTGCATTTGCCTGTGGCAGGGGGTGGGAACAGGGAGTGACTACAAATGGACATGAGGCATGTTTTTGGAATGATGGAAATGTTCTAAAATTGGATTGTGGTGATGATAGAATAACTCTGTAAATTTACTAAAAAACTATAGAATTGTACACTTAAAACAGGTGGATTTTATGGTATATAAATTATACCTCAAAAATTGTTTTAAAAAATGAAAAATATATTATGCTAAGTGAAAAAAGCCAAACACAAAAGACCACATATGATCCCATTTATATAAAATGTCCAGAAAAGGCAAATCTATCTATAGAGACGGAAAGTAGATTTGTGGTTGCCTGGAGTAGGGGTGGGACAGAGATTAACTGTAAACAGGCACAAGGGATCTCACTGGGGAGTTAAAAATATTCTAAAACTGGATTATGCTCATTGGCTCATGATACAGTAAATTTACTAAAAATCACTGAATTTTATACTTAAAAATGGGTGAATTTTCTGGTATTAAATTATACCTCAGTAAAGTTATTTTAAAAAATAAAGTGGTCAAATCACATTGGAGTTCTTAACCTTTTATCCATGAACCACTCTGAAAATGAGATGAAGACTAACCCTATCCCAGAGAATTGAGATTCCCTTTTGCCCGTCCACAGACACTGTACTGGTCTGAGGACACCAAATTAATAGGTCTCTAAATCTCCAGAGCACTATGCCACCTTACTAACAAAGGCACTAGGAATGCCCATGATCATCCTCTTCACCCTAGAAAGATGAACACCTTACCAGAAAAGAAGGCAAAATTCCTCTTCTTAAACAATGACAGGAACCCCCGTCCTTTACTTTTAGGACATCATTTTGGAATCTCTCACTTAATCCATTTCTTCAATATAAAACTCTGACTGAGGGACCCAGAAGCAATCAATCAAGACAGAGATCTAGGGGCTGGCCTGGTGGCATAGTGGTTAAGTTCACACACTCCACTTCAGTAGCCTGGGGTTTGTGGGTTCAGATCCCAGGTGCAGACCTACACACCCCTCATCAAGCCATGCTGTGCTGGTGTACCACATACAAAAAACATAGAAAGATTAGCAACAGATATTAGCTCAGGGCCAATCTTCCTCACCAAAAAAAAAGGACAGAGACCTAGCTAGCTGTCTTTAAAACCAACCAGTGCATGTCAAAGACCCAGGGTGTAGCAAGGACACAGGTCCATGAAACGGCTTAAGGAAAAAGAAGATGTGATGTCTTTCAGATAAAACTTAGCCCAGATTTGTTTTGAAACAAGAGGCAAGTAAAGTCAAAAAGAGAAATATGACAAAGTTTCTCTAAAACACAGACGGTGCAATAAACACTCACAGCCCCAGGGCAGCTGAGTTTTCAGCCAGTCTTTGTTATAAAACTAATTTCAGGACAGGATGCTGATCTAGCAAAGCAGACAATCTCCTTCCTCCAATACACAGGGGTCTGCTCATGTCAGTTGGATTGAGCTTCTGTTTAGCTAAACACCCTCTTTTGATTTCTAGTCACTGGATTGTTGTTATCCAACAAATACTGCCCTCATCCTCATTCCCCAGCCTCCCCCAACCACTGGGCCTCTCAGAGAATTACAATCCATGTTTGTGCAAGTTTTGCTCTCTGCCAACTGGTATTCCTGGACCCCCTTAAAATCCATGCCACACACAGCAGCCACATGCATCAGATCACGCCATGTCCCTGCTTGAAGCCCTCCAGGAACACTCGTAATTCCAAAATCCTCACCAGGGCTGGGAAGGTCCCTAGTCTGGCCCCTCCCTGACCTTTCTATCCTTACCAGTCTTCCTTCAGGTCCTAAAACACTTTAAGGTCTTCTCCTCCTGGGGGCCTTTGCATTTCCTCATCCCTCAAAAGGGAAAAGTCCTCCCTAGGCTGGTAGGACTCCTTCTCATCAAGACGACTCATCCTTCAGTGCTCAACTTAAATGTCGACGCCTCAGAAAAAGAATTTCTCGTGAAATCACCCTAACTAGGTCTCCAGGTTACTCTCTATCAGAACATCTTATTTCCTTCCTAGCCCTTGCCAAAACCTGTAATTCTTTTTATTTGTGTACTTATTTAATGTCTACCTCCCTGACTAGAAAGTCAGTTCCAAGCAGTCAGAAGTTGTGTCTACGTCGTTCAGAGTGGTACCTGCAGCTTCATCTGGAGAGGATCCCCAGCTCCACCCCAGCAAAGTCTGGCACTTCGTGGGCACTCAAGGGTTTTCGCACGGATGCGGGAATGAACTAAGGCACCCTATCCCACAATCCCCCAAATAGGCGGCTGTGCCCACAACTCCAAAATCCCATTTCTAGCACAGCCTCGTCGAGGCCTGTCCCATGCCTGCACTTTTTTTCCTCTCCCAGACACATCTGTTGCTCAGGTTCAAACATCTGTCACTACGCAAATCTCTCAGGAGCCCCTCAAACCCCACCCCGCCCCGCTTCACAGCGCGCCACTCAAAATCCCCTCCCCGCCTTGCACGCGCTGCACAACCCCGGAGCCTCACCCATGCGCCCTCCACACCCCCGGGCCCATGAGCCCCCATGAACGTCTGTGGGTCCTGTGCTCCCGGAGCTCCCCCGGGTCCCCACGTTCCCGCGTGTCACCCGCCGCCCAGCGCGGCACCTCCCCCCTCAGCGGCGCCAGCTCTCACCGATCACCTCCTGCAGCTCGTAATCGTCCCTGTTGATGGACCAGGGCAGGGCGCTCGAGTCCTCGGACATGACGGCGGCAAGGCTCTCAGTCCTCCCTCAAACTCGCTGACCTCTCTCTTCTCCTCGCCGCGCCTCTCCCCACCCCCAACCGCTGCCGCCGCGCCCCCACCAACCGCCTCGGGAACAGCCACGGGTCGGACGGCGCCCGGGCGCGGGGTCACCGCGCGGCAGAGCAGCGGGGGCTCGAAGCTCCGGCAGACCTCGCCTCCTGCTCCTCCGCGACCGGCACTCCCCGGCCCAGCTTAGGTCCCGGCCTCGGCCTCCGCTGCAGAAGCGACAGGAGCTTCGCCTCGGCCCAGCCCCTCTGTCCCGCCCTCCACCCCAGCCCCACGCACGGGCCAAACTTTCCCTTCTCCCTCCACCTGCCGACACGCAGCGCGCTGACGTCACCGCGCCGGGCAGGCCCCGCCTCGGCCCCGCCTCCTGCCGCCATCTCAAGTGTGGCTAGATTAGCAGCGAGCAAGCAAGAAGCTGGAGAAGGTGGAAGTTGACAGTGGAAGGAGTGAAATGCTTAGGAAGAAGTTCAGCGAGGGTATCAGAAAGCCAGAGAAGAGCCTAATGTAGCAGAGAGGCGGAAGCCACACTAAGCATGGCGACCAAAGGGTGGCCGCGCGGAGGGGCGGAGCCACTTCTGGCGGCGGGGGCACGTTGCGGTCTCTGTCGTCGCATTCATTGGTTTGTTTGAGAAGGAATCAGAAAGACAATGGGTGTGTGTGGACGTCAGTCAGAACTTAGTCCCGCCTCCAGGCTCTCAGCGTGTTTCTCCGTGCCAGGGCTCCAGTCTTTGAAGGTTGCCAGTACGGTATTCGTTTCGTCCTTCCTCACGGCGTAACCGTCACACCCTCGAGACGTGCAAACGGCACCGCAGGGTGTGGAGAAGGCCGAAGGAGAAGCTGGGTGGGGTAGCCTTGGGGTGTGGACAACTGGCAACTAGGATAAAAGGCCTTGGGCTACGGGACGGAGTGCTACCGGAAGCTTGCCCCGTGACGACACTTTTTTCAAGGCGGAAGTTCTCTCTGCAGCGGGGGTCGCGGCCCTCTCTGTAATCTTATTGGGCAGGGTGGGAGTTCTGGACACTGTCAACCTCGGGTCTGGAGCTCAAAGGAACTTCTGTCTTGGGGGAAAGTTAGGCTTTTTCCCCGGACGCGGCGTGGGCCATTAACCAAATAAGATTTGGCCACGAGGCTTTCGCTCGTTTCAACGGCCTTGACTCTAGAAATTGGTTTCAGCTGTTACTACTGACACCTTCTTTACTGCCATGTGTTGCCTTTTTCTTTTTGCAGGGAGAAGAGGGATGGGGATCAAAAATATCAGAGAGGAACTAAATCTGATGGTAAAGCTTAGAGATCTCAAGGTTTGTACCAATAGAAAGATCCATAAACCAGAGATTCTTAATCTGGGATTGTTGGCCTACGTGGGCCGTGGACAGATTTCAGAAGGTCTGTTGCGGGGTGGGGGGCGAGGCAGGGAGGGTTTTTGGGGTTTTTTTCACTCCCTTAAAATTACATGCAGTTTAGTATATACTTTTGGGAGAGATTTTGGCCACCTTCCTCCTTCCTCTCCTTCCTTTCTTCAGTGAAAAGGAGCTACTAACCTAACAGTGAAAATTCAAGATGTAAGTTGACCCACATTCTTGGTGGACAGGGTCGCTATACATTCCTTAATGAGTTCTCCTCTACCTCCTCCACTCACGTAGCTTGATGGTTTAGTTGAGCCAGAGCCTACTCTGCAGATCTGGTCACTTTTTTCCGCCTGTCTCCTGGGCTTTCTCCATGTGGCCTGCTAGGGGTTAAGATCTCATGTTTTTCATGAGCAAGGAATTGGTAGCTGTTGGAGGCCGGAAGCCCAAACTTCGACCTCTTTCTCAGCTTCTGGAGTATATTCCATGCAGGAACTCTGTCATAAACACTTGGTATACAGTGGGAAACAAAGCAACTTAGTTCCTGTTTTCATGGAGCATATAGTCTAGTAGAGAAACGGTAAATACTAAGCAAATATGTAGATAAGTAATTACATTACCAAGCATCGTGCAGGGAAATGCCAGTACACTGTCATAGCGAATAGTTAGGGAGTTTGGAGAAGACCTCTCTGAGAAAACTGAGAGGGAGCCCACCATGCAGAGTATTTTAAACAGGTAAAAGGAGTTTTAGGCACTTTTGACGCTATTAATAAAGTAATGCTTTGATTCCTGTTAGCCTTACTTTGATAAAGTAAGGCTGGTCCTTGTATATGGCTCCCTCGGTAATCTTTTAGGGTTTGAGGGGAAAAGGGAAGTTAGGGTGATTGTGGAACCCTGGCCCTAGTATCAAAATTTCATCAAATCCTACCTAAGTTTCTTGAAAGTGTGACATATTTTCCTGGGGAGAGGAACCTTGTTTTTCCTCACATTGTCAAAGGCGTCCTTGTCTTAGTTTGGGTTGCTCCCAAAATCAGTCTCTGAAACCAGGGTTTGGATGCAAATCATATATTTAGGAGGTGACCCCAAGAGGCACTCGGAAGGAGTGGAGAAGTGAGACAGGGTAGGAAGGAAAGTCATTAAAGGGTGCCTTGATGAGGAGTACTCTTGGCTCAGTCCTGCTGTGAACCATCTGAGAAATGGACACACCTCAGTATTATCCCACTAAGAGGCAAGGAAGCTGAGGTATTTACCCACCAACTCCTTTAGAACTCTTTAGAGTGTTAATGCCCCTGCACTTGTTCCCAGCTCAGTGCTGGGAAGAGCGTGTTCTTAAAGTCAGAGAAGGCACTCAGGAAGAGACGCAGGCAGTCCTCTCGTATACTCGGACACTCTGAAAGCAAACTTCAGAGTAGGCCCAAAGAATGTGAACCATGTATAGACAGCAGCTGCCGCAGCATGTAAACCCAAAAGTTGGGAAGCACTGTCTGGACTGAAAAGCCAGGAGGGAAAGTGTGTTCATGCTTCCCCTTCTTTCTCTGTTGCTCTTAAGCAACTGACCTGCATTGTGCTTTGCTTTTAGCACCAGCAGGGTAGAGGAAAAAAGACTGATTTCAAGACTGGTGATGTCTTGAAGTGGAAATTAGATCTGTAATAATTCAAGTTTTATAGGCTCCTTTAATGAAAGAAAGCTTTTGAAATATATAAATTAATGTATACCCTATATGAGAAACCTGAATATAAAGAAAAGCGCAATTTTGTGCCTCTGTTATAAGCTGATTTTCTCAGCAGTTTCATGTCTATGCCAGGACCAGCTGTAGACTGCTAGAATCTCTTCCCTTCATCCAATCCTTACATTCGCATATAGTGCAATGTTATCACATTAGAAGAGGGAACAACACCCATACCTCACATACAGGTACTTCTTGTCTTGTGCCTGGAATAGTGCCCTGCACAGGCATATATTCAGGTATGGTGTTTTTGTTTTTAAAGATTGGCACCTGAGCTAACAACTGTTGCCAATCTTCTTTTTTTTTTTCCCTGCTTTTTCTCCCCAAATGCCCCCCAGTATATAGTTGTATATTTTAGTTGTGGGTCCTTCTAATTGTGGCATGTGGGACGCCGCCTCAGTGGGGCCTGACCAGTGGTGCCATGTCTGCTCCAGGATCCGAACCAGGAAAACCCTGGGCCGCTGAAACAGAGCGTATGAACTTAACCACTCGGCCATGGGGCTGGCTCCCTAAGCATGGTGTTGATTAAATAGATGGAGTGTGAGAGTAGAGGAGCGTGGACAAGTTAGGAGTCTGGAGCCTGGGGAGAAGCTGACATCTTGACAAACCCAGAAAATGAATGTCCAAGGCGACAGTCGCTTGGAGCCTGTAAGAAATAGGTAGCTGCAAAGGTTATTATGGGAAACAAAAAAATCAGTCCTTGCAGAGAGGAGGGGCTCAGCATCAAGCTGGATTCTGAACCAGAGAGTAGCTTCAGGCTGGCACCATGCCAACTTGATGAGCTCAAGCTGAGTTGAGCAAAAGTTGGGAAATATTTGGTTGAGGTGGAGCAGGTTCCTACATGACTGCTACTTTTCAAATGCTATCTCTTAAAGGTTTAATGTGTCTAAAAACCTACTTCATTATGATGTATATTGTAGCATTCTTGTAATAGGAAAAAATTGGAAATAACCTACGTGTCCATGGATAGAGGACTGGTCATTGCTTGTACATACTATGTGGAACATCTTAGGATCCATAAGAAACTTGTGTGTAGTGTAATTAATGCTAGCTGAAGTAGCAACCCAGAAATCTGGCTGGTTTAACCCAAAACCTTCTTTCTCATACACATGAAGTCCAGCACAGATGTCTCTGGTTCTTCTCCTCCAAGCAGAGAATCAGATTTTGGCTCCTTTCGTCTAGTGGGCACTACCATCTTCTAGGGCCTCCTTGGAGTCTTCCACTGGACCCTCTCCATTCAGCCATCTGGTTAGCTAAAAGAGAACACCACAAAAGCTGGTCAGCACTGAAAGTTGTGTCTCTTACTTCTTCCCATGTTGTATTGATCAGACCCGGTTGTCTGACCCCAGCCTAAGTCAAGGAAACTAGGACATGGCTTCCTATATGCTCAGTAAGAAGAAATGGGATTAGTGAACATATAGTCACTCTGCTGCAACTGCTAACTTTGATTGCCTCCAGGCTAGAGCTACTGACTTGTTGAGGAAGGGGCGTAAGAAGGATATACTCTTTGGTGCATTTTGGGTTTACCAATCCAAATATTTTCTGTTCAAAAAAATTCACCCTGTGGCTGAGTGGTTGAGTTTGCGTGCTCTGCTGCGGCAGCCCAGTGTTTCATCGGTTCGAATCCTGGGCAACGACATGTCACTGCTCGTCAAGCCATGCTGAGGCGGCATCCCACATGCCACAACTGGAAGGACCCACAACTAAGAATATACAATTATGTACTGGGGGGCTTTGGGGAGAAAAAGGGAAAAAATAAAATCTTTAAAAAAAAATTAAGGAGGACTAGTAAAGTTATGGTTCACCCATACTATGAAATTCTTTCATTCAGAAAGAATGAAGTAGATCTGTCCATTCTGGAACAAAATGATCTATAATTAAGGTAAACAAGCAAGTTGTAGGTAAGTTAGATTTCTACATTGACTTACTTCAGGTTACCATAACAAATTCCCATAGTCTGGGTGGCCTAAACAACAAACATTTTTCCTCATAGTTCTGGAGTCTGGGAAGTCCAAGATCAAGATGCTGGCAGATCTGGTGTCTGGTGAGGGTGTGCTCCCTGGCTTATAGAGAGCCATCTTTTCATTGTATCCTAATACGGCAGAGGGCGGAGAGCTTCCGAAGGCACTAATCCCATTCATGAGGGCACCACCTTCGTGACCTAATTACCTCCCAAAGGCCCTACCTCCAAATATTATCACATTGGGGGTTGGGATTTTCATGTATGGATTTAGGGGAGACACAA